GCCTGCCACCACCCACACAGCCTCTGCCTCCCCTCCTGCCTCGCCAACTGCCACTTTGCCTCTGGCTTTGGGAGGCTTCGGCCCCACTCCAGCCCATGTCACGGAGCACATCCCTGGACTGTGCTCAGTCTGGCCTGGTAGTGGGCTGTGGCAGAGGCAGTGGCACTGGCAGCAGCTTCAGCCTTGAAGCTACACCCACGACATGGAACAGAGGTGGTAGAGGGGTAAGCAGCATCTGCAGTGCAGGGCCACAGCTGGCGTTGCAGTGGCCTTATGCTCCCTCACTGCCTCATACTCAAATCCAAGATGAAAAAGGCTTTTCCCCCACTGAGTGGAGTGGCGATGGATGCAGGCTGCAGGCACGGGGCTCCCCACCCTGCTGCCCTCCCCTGGGAGCCGAGTGATGGCTGCACACCCCTTGCCTGCCCAGCAGCAGTAGGGAGCACAACTTCATGCTGCCTCTGCTGCCAGGTAGGCAGGGGTTGCCTCACCATGGTGCCACTGGGGGGAAGGAGCCCTGAGCCAGCAGCAGACAGTCTGCCTTCACCCCGACCCTGTGCATAAATCTTGGGGTGGGGTGGGGGGGCACATTTTCCTCCCATATGCCTCCCAGGAGTGCATGCAGTGGCAGGGAGCCATGCCCCTACCTCTCTGCCCCCTGGATGACCCTTCTGTGGGTCCATCCTGTTCCCAGCCCTAGGCCCCAAACACGCCCCCAGATGGGCAGCACCCCAGCTCCTGCCCCACTCCCTTCCTCACTGTGGGAGCCACAATGTGCCCCCCACCCATTCCCCTCCCCCCCATAAATTTACCTAGAAGGAGCTGCTGTCTAAGCTGCCTGCCTGTATTCCTGGCCACCTGCATGTGTGTGGGTGTGTACATGCATGTGGTGCCCCCTGGGTCCCACTCCTGGCAGGCGCTTCCAGGCTGGAACACTGCCAACCTGCAAGGGGAAACCGACTGTTTCCCACACTGAACAGAAAACCCGGATCCCTGCACAACACTGCAAATCCAGGACAAATGCTGTCCTGGAGCCATGCAGTCTGGGACTGGGACTTGAGGTTCCCATTTTAGGACTACCCCACCCAATAAGGGATGGGTGGTCACTATCTGGGGATCTTTCTTAGTATTGCAGATATTTGTGCACAGCATTGCTAGATTATAAGCCTTAATTTTGTAAAAGTACTCTTGATTGGATCTAATTTTGCTGTAAAAAGTTAAGATTAAACTAAGGTTAATTCATGTTCATTTGAGAACCCAATTCTGAAATCTCACTCAAAGAAGCTGCAGGCTCCAGTGTGATTGGTCACTTCTTGTATGGCAGGAAGTTTGGGTTTCGAAGAATCTGACTCTGTTTTGAAGTTCATGTTGTATCATGAAGTACTGAAACTTACTACCAAGCATATCTTTTAATTGTGTGACTTGTCCCATCAAAATCATTGGGAACGTTTGCATTAGCAAAGTCCATCTGCTAGGTTTTTTGGGCCTCTAATTTATTGATGGGACAATGAAATACTGGTATTTTTTTTCAAGTACCATTATTTATTTTTTTATTTAAGAAAATTTAATATGACATGCTGTTACTTTAAAAAATATGTCAATTCTTTTGACAATTTTGAATCATAAAGTCTATAGATGATATAATGACTTCTAGGTTTTAAATGGTTTTAAACCTTCTGTGAGGCTGGAAACAGTAACAGCTTTATATACTAGATTTATTTTTTCTGGCATTGCAATACCTGCCTTGTTTAATCACTAACTGCTTCCTTCTTTTTCAGATTACTTATTTCAGTCTGTGGTATTACAATAAGCAGAACCAGCGCCGGTGGGTGGATTTGGACAAGCCTCTGAAAAAGCAGCTCGACAAATATGCTTTGGAGCCAACTGTGTATTTTGGAGTGGTATTTTATGTGCCTACTGTTTCTCAGCTTCAGCAGGAAATTACCAGGTGAGCTGTACATATTTTTAATTTCAGCTTTTAACATTCTCGTATGTATCTTAAAATAGTAATTATTGCTTGAATTTCCACTTCTTCAAAGGTTGAAAATCAAACTTAAGGCAAAAACTTTGCCTAAACTGTGGCATTTATTATTCCTTCAGATTATAGAATATATATTGAGTTACGTGAAGGATGAATTTTCCCAATGATCTTAGGAATCTATTTAAGCTTATTCACACAAGTAATGTTGCTCACAGAGGTAATTCAGTCCTAAGACTTTCAATTATTATAGACTATTAACTTTGTTTTTGAAAGGCAGAATGAAGAAGAAAAAGATTTTTCCAGAGTTATGGCTATGCAGGGCAGGGATAGAGCTTAATCTTCAGCTTACTCACCCTTCGTTTCCTACTTAATTAAAACTCAAACAACAGCAGCTGCTGAAGATAGGTCTCCATAGGTGGAGGTATGATTTTGAAAACAGCAAAAGTGTCTCCAAAGCTGTGAAATAGGAGGAGAAAAACCAGGAGCAGCTACTAGACAGCAGAATTGCCCTAAGAAAAGTTAACTTGGTTAATGGCTCATTGAGACCACTAAAAGGAGATTTTATTGTAAACACCTCTGAAATGAAGAACAATGAGCCATTAAGTCACTTGACTCCCTCATAATGCAATAGCTGCTGCACTGTGGAGCGGGAATCAAAGTAGAGTGCTTCTATCTCGGGCAGAAAATCAGCTTCCTGGCTTAATATGCACACCTCAATTTTTGGGGGGGTGATTTTGGGGTATGTTGTTTGTGAGAAGTTGACAAGTTGACTGCCCTCCTGAAGTTAGAATAAATGATGAAAGCCTAGAAGTGGTTGAAAAATTCACTTGGGCTCCACCATCTCAGAAAATCTTGGCTTGGAAGCCTAAATTAACGTTCGCGTTCGAAAGGCCAGCAGTGCTAGGTTTTAACTTCAAAAAAGAGTTTAGAAAAACAGAGTCGACAAAGAGTTTGGAAAAACTGCGTTGACAAAGATGTTGTTCTACAGTGTTTGCAAACTTAGCTTTCTATTGTACAGCAGTGAAACATGGACTCCTTATGTCAAGGAAGACAGAAAACTGAACAGTTTCCATCTTTGATGTCTCTGCTGTATCCTGGGCATAACATGGCATGACAAAATCTCCAACTTCTCTGTTCTGGAACGGACCAAGATACCCAATATGTTTGTGCTTTTGAGACAGAGACACCTCCGTTGGTTAGGACATGTGAACCATATGAGCGTTGGCTAAATTCCCAAGGACATACTCTGCAGTGAGCTGGCCAGTGCTGAATGTCAGCTTGGATGGCCCAAGCTCCATTTTGTTTATGTCTGCAAGAAACACCTTTGTGAGCTGTTCATTGATGGCCAATGCTGGGAATGAATTGCTTTAAACGACTGTGAATGGAAAGCTGCCATGAAGCAGGACCTATGTCATGATGAAACGGAGAGGGTCAGTGATGATCTAGAGAAGAGATGTTGGAGGCAGGCAATAAAAAATGGTGTTCAGCATGCCAGTTCAAGTTCAACTGAGTCTGTATGTGCAGCTTGCCAGAGGGTGTGTCTGTTGTGCATTGGACTTCTCAGCCACTGAAGAAGATAGCCCACCAAAGCCACAGTCCCCATGGTCTCCCAAGACCAGTAGCTGCCAGTGAATGAATACATGTGAGAAAATGTGGGAATAGGGTGAAATATTCCAGTAGGTCTAACTTGGGTATTCTCATAAAGAAAGCAGTGTCTGTTGATGTAATAGCTCAGTAATATTACATTATATTGCCATGCAACAGACAAGTTCAGCTGCAGACTTTGAGTTCCTATGCCTTTGGAAAATGGATCTAAGGAGCCAGATTCTGGTCTAATTTACATCATAGAAAATTTGGCTTAACCTCAGCAAAGTTTATAGTGTTACTTCTGAACTACATTGGTACAAACAAAATTAATGCATGTTATACTAAATTCTAAACAAGCTGGGAAACAAAAAGAGAACATTGCCCATGTTGCAGTGGAACAGTGGCAGGAAGGTGCTGGCCTTATATGTTTGAGAATATATTTTCTTTTAGCTGTTATCGTGCAGAACAAACAAGAGAACTGTTTTCTGAGTAGGGAGATCACTTTTCCTGCAACTGTAGAGCCAGGACTTAGCCTGAGCCCTTTGTCTGTAATCTATATCGCACTGTTGTGCAGCATGTGGCATTATTGTAGAAGTAGATAAAATGTTCTAGAGACTGTTACAGAGAACATGTATTTAACACTTTCTGGCAAAGGTAGAAAATAGGTTGTCTTTCTCAACATGCATTTAGTTTGGCTTTCACCTACTTATTATTTCTATTGACATAAGGCACCTCCACAACTGGAAGATTGAATCTCTTCTGCAAAGAGTACACAAACTAATATTCAACATGATGCAATACATTGAAGGGACATTCACAATGATTAGTGGGTATAAAGAGATACTTTGAATGAAGAGAGGCCAGTGTTTTGCTAGACTAGCTCTGAAAGAATGTTCTGTTCTTAGGGGGTTGCACAGATGAGTGCAAGAAAACAGTTGTGGAAAGACTGGACGTATGGGGCATTGTGGCTGGTGTTATTTGTGAGCACAGGAAAAAACAGGAGAAGAGTAAGTGGATAAGGAAATATTTATTTATGCAGCTCTTCTTTCAAGGTGAGGACAAATAGATTGTGTTAAACATGATGTAGAAGTCATTAGTGTGATTCAGAGAAATGGATGACACTTAGATTAATCAGCAGAGAATACAGTGCTAGATTCAATATTCCTAATGGTCTATAGAAAAAGTGATGCCAGGGAGGCTCAAGAAGAGGGAATAATATTAAATAAAGGATTGATGAGGGTGTGAATGAGTGTTTTTGATGGCAGACAGAAAAGGTCAGATCTTGCTTTCGAAGTAGTGGCAGGATTTCAACCTACTCTAGGTGTGAGTGGTTAGAGAAGACTTAGAAATGACCTCCAAATCATGGGCCTGAGTAACAAGGAGGAGAAAAATGTCCTTGGATTATGGAGGACAGATGCGTGTACATTCATAGGTTTATAAATGTCTCGGTTTGTAACTGCATTGTACTGAAACTGAAAAAATGGAAATGCTAACATACGCTTTCTTTCTGTAGATATCAGTATTATTTGCAGCTGAAGAAAGATATCTTGGAGGGAAACATTCCTTGCACATTAGAGCAAGCAATTCATCTGGCTGGTTTAGCTGTTCAGGGTAAGTTGAGGAATTGTGCTCCATGGCTATTTTTAAGGATGGAGACCAATCTGTTTGAATGCATATTTTATATTTTTTATGTAAGTGAACACCATTACTCTAGGACTTTTCAACCTGTATTCTGTGGACTCCTGGGGGTTCAAAAACTATGTCTAAGGAATCTGTGAAAGATGACTATGAGCAATCAAAAGCACGTGAAGCCCCACACTTACAATTCAAAGGGGTATGCAGCTCAATTCAAAACTTTTTTAGGGGTCCGCAAATGAAAAAAGGTTGAAAACCACTGCTCTAGGGCAGTGGTTCTCAACCTTTTTCACACCGGGATCCATTAGCATAATTATCAGCTGGCCCCGACCCACACCCCCCTGGCCCCAACCCACAGTCTGTCTGCCTGTCTCTCCCTGCTCCAGCCCCCTGCCTTCCTCTCGGGCTCCTGGGGCTGCTCTCAGAAGGCTGTGTGCTTGCTTCGCTCCCCCTCCTGCTGTGTGCTGGCTCCATGCAGGCTGCCAGTGTTGCAGCCTGGATGGGGAAACCACATAAATCCCTGGGACCTCCCTGGGACCTCTTACAATGTTCTTGAGACCCATGGGTTGATAAATGCTGCTCTAGAAGATGCTCTGTATTTGGTTACATGACACTGGGCCTTCCTCTTTTTGTGAAACATATATTTGTTTTGAATTTATAATCTCACTATGCCTCAGTTATGGTGCCTTGTAGCTCAGCTACTCATTAAGGATTTGATCCTCAGAAGCCTATTTCCCAAAGCCACAGGGGAGCCGGTAGCCCAGGAGTTCTGGGCACTCTGACCCAAATCCTCAAAAGTATTTAAGTGCCTAATTCCTATTTGAGTTCATTTGGAATTAGGCATCTAAGTAACTTGGAGGATCTTGGCTTTAGTGCTTTGATGAAGTCATTTTCTTGTTCTATTCCTGCATATGCTCCTTTGTAGGACAGTAGCAAGAGGGAGGAACACAGTTTAATGAAAAAGAAAATGGGCTTTATGCCTAGGAAAAAAATGGCAAAGGATTTGGCTTCATTTGCACTGTGTGACACTTTATGCTTACTATTTGATTTTTGACTCAATGTACACGTTGTGAGTTTAACATTAAGAAGGGAATCTGCTTTTTTGAGAACACATTTACCAGTGAAGTGGGCCAGAAAGAACTAATGCCTTATTTATGCAACAGTGTTTTTGTTTAATACAAGCCATGTCTTTATACTCTTCCTTTAACAAGTTCTCGCTTAATTCTTTTCATACTCTTTGGATAGTGTAAATGTCTTTCTGCTCAGTGAATTGTTTATAGGAATCTTTCCATATAATCCTCTTTTCAGCTGGAAGATATTTATCCTTTTAGCCTTTGCATTCCTCATTCAGTCTGGCAGGGTGGTAAGAAAAGGGTTGTATGTGTTAGTAATAGAGTGAGAAAACAGGACAGAAAAAAACCCAGCCTTTGGTTGGGTGCTGGATGAGACTACAGTAGTTTATACACGTGGATCAGTTAAATTGAACGAATCAAAAAACATATTGGTGATTTGTCTTTGTCTCCACTGATTTGCAATTGTAATAGTTTCAGTAAGTCAGTTCTGAACTCAGTTTTCATCATGAGTACTAACTTATTCTGAAACAGTAAAAGTCTCATTTAATTGCCAGTTGTCACCTACACAACAACTGTTAATTCATCATACAGGCAACCCTCACTTAATGCAGTTTTGCTTACCGTGGTTTTGCTATAGCTCTCATTTAAAATACCTACCTGGTTTCACTTAGCACGCAGAGCGTTTCGATATAACACTCAGCGCAGTGGGTGGGGAGAAGCAGTGATGGCAGTGGTGATGGCATTGTCATTGTCAAGTGAATCAGTGATTGGCAGCCGGCAGAACCCAGGGTGGGGTGGCAGGAGCTCGGGGTCCGCTCTGGCACATGGTGCTGGAGCAGGCGGGGAGGAGCAGCGGCAAGAAGGGGCGGGCGGGGGGCCAGGCAGCATAAGCATGGAGCCCGAAACAGCAGGGCCCAGGGCGAGGCGGCAGGAGCCCGGGGTCTGCTATGGCATGTGGTGCTGGAGCAGCCAGCAGGCGGGGAGGAGCAGCGGTAGCAGTGAGAGGGGGCGGGTAGGGGGTGTGAGCACAGGGCCCGGGCTGGCGCTCACAGCCCGGGCCAGCAGGGTGGCAGGAGCAGGGGGCCCGAAGCCAGGGCTGGCAGGAGTGTGGGGCCTGAGCAAGTGTGAGCCAGTACTCAAGGACACATGCACAGTGTCCCCCGCCCCAGGCAACAGTGGAGCCAAACCCACGGAGCCCCCCTGTCCCCGGGCTTCAGCCTGTGACCCGTTCCACTTCGGGTGCGCACTCACTCGTGGGGCGCAGACACCATCCTGAGCTTCCCTTGTGCTGGCTGGAACCCCACTGCCTTCTTGCTGTTAATCTCTGGGCAGGCAGGTCCCTGACTCAGGCCCCATAGGCGGGGCGGCTGGGGCCACACACAGGTGCGCTGGTGGCCAACAGGGGCCATTGCAGTGGCGGAGCAATGACGCTGGGAGGAGCCAATGCCTTCCCTGGCAGAGCCTGTACAGTGCCTTGCCGGGAGCGGCAGGTGGTGCAAAACCAATTATATTTATTTACATTAAACCCTATGGAAAATGGTTTTTGCTTAACACTGTTTTGCTTAGCGCTCAGTTTTTCCAGAACCAATTAAGAGTGTTAGGCAGGGTTGCCTGTAGAAATGTTAATTAAGTATGTTTCTTGTGATATTTGTAAATAAGAATTTGGAGGATGCATTCACACTTGTTGAAGCAGACATTTGGAAGAGGCTCTGGACCTTGGAGACAGTTTATCCTGAAGATACTGGCAGCTTTATTTCTCCTCTTCATCAGTTAAGTTAGTTCACTCCCTGGGACAAGACAGATGTGAATTCTTTGCCTCTCTGTGATCCCTTTTTGCTGCTTATCAGATAGGAAAGTTTTTTCCTTTCATCCCCAATGACCCTGGACATTTTCACAAGTAGCTTAGGTACATACTTGGCTGGAATGATTTAGTCAGGGATGATTCTGCCTTGAGCAGGTGACTGGACTAGATGACTGTGTGAGGTTCCTTCCAGCCCTACTTTACTATGATCCCAAGTCCCTATCAATATTTCTGCATAGGGGAAGTTCCCAGCAGGTATGGAGTGGGCAGAATTAGTTTCCAGGCTTCTTTACTCTGTGCAACATAGGGACTGTTATAGGGATGGAGAGGAGTAATGGTCAGGAGCCAGCGTGCTCTGACTATTTGCATCTGATGTATGGAACCATACCCAACTGATGCAAGTTAGAGCAATCCCTGTGTGCTCACACATCCACTAACAATGGGACTGGGATAGATAATCAGGAAACTGGCCAGTCCCTGACTACTTTGCCCCTTCCCCCATTTTCTTGTACCCATTAGAAGTGCTGTTAATTTAGAGCAGCTGGTGAGGCTGCTTTCTACTGAGGATGCTAGTTGAAGACAGAAAAGGGAACTAAGAATGTTTATACATGTGGGGCGGGGTACTTTAATTAGAGTGTCTCTGAGAGCTGCTCTTATTAAAGCACCAGGAGTGTCACATGTATCAGCATCCCTGCACTGAAAAATGATGGCAGGGACACTTTAACTAAAGCTCATTGAACAAGCTTTAATTAAAGCACCCCCACAACCATTTTTCAGTGTGGGAACACTGATGCACCTGATGCTGGAGTCTGCTGGAGTGCGGTAATTACCACACTGCAGCAGACTCAATCAAATACAGTGCACTGGAGCAGCCTCACTGCACATGTATAGGCATCCGCAGTTCCTAATAATTTAAGTTCAAAATGATTTTTACCAGTTGGAAGAGAAACGTGACTATACAGGAAGCCTGTGGAGGAAAAGAGGAATAAAAGAACACATGATTTAACTGTTTTCTTTGTAAAGCTCCCTGCTTTTTGTACAGTATCATCCCTTTCAAACAAATGTCTGCTGTGATAAAGTTTTGTTATAGAGGGGTCATATTTTTCATGTTTTGCTAAATGTCTTTGTCACAAACATTCTTTAACTTGATTCCAAGATGAAGTTTTTCCCCCCAGTTGGCATGAGGCAAAAAGCCTCTCATCTTGTAATTGCATGGAAGGAAATCACACTAAATAATTTGCCTACCATTAAACTGCTGCCAAAAGCAGCATGTGCAGAGCAATGGAAACCAACTGTGAAGTTGATTAAATGCAGTCAACACTGAGTGTGACAATAAAACACATGGCCCACATGGGCAAATATGCTGATGGGAACCTTTTTTTGTTTGCGTGACTTAAAAAAACAAAACCAAAACGAGTAGTTGCTCCCCCCAGGAGTGAACAAGCACCAGGCCTAGAGGCATTGCAATATGAGGCCAGCACTTGGACAGGCCGGAGCAAGTGCTGACACCCTCCACTGGGCCAAAAATGATGGTGGGAACCTTATTTTTTACAAATTTTATTAACAATACACTTATCGCCTTACACCTGCAAAGCTTCACATATTGAGCACCCGTGTTTTACCAAAACTTCATATTGCAAAAACAGCTGTATATCCAAAAACATACAACTATATATATTAAACCTTTAAACAACATAATCAACTTTCCACAAAAAACCCTTACAGAACTCTTTTTTCATTCAGGGCCCCATGAAAAATGATTACTTGTATTAATATCCGCTCCTCCCATCAGTCCTTTCTGTTGGTTCTGTGAAACAAGTGTGTCAGGTCCTTTTTCCTACACTTCTCCACCTCTTCTTCTCTGATATTTTCTGTGTCCTGATTAATATAGTATTAAATTTCATGCAGCCCCAGCTTCTGCCACTCCCTTTCAGTGAAAGCCAACTCCTTAAAAACCCATGGGTTTCTTACTTTCCATGAACCAGTTTTAACACATACTAATAAATAAGTCCATATAATACCATCATACCTTTGGTATGAGTCCATATCTCCTTTGCATGTGTACAGTCCCAAAACCTATGTCCCACTGCTGCTGCTTCTCC